GATCTTCTCAAACAGATTTTTGCTGATTTGACAGAAGGCTACAAAACCAATGAATAAAGGAAAATGTACAATTCTTTTTATAGAGAAAGGAATACTGAAATAAAAATGAGCAACATGTAGTAATTCATAAATTTGGAAGATTGACAAAAGCAATTACAGAAACTGCTTAAAAGGCGCGGAAGTAGCGGGAATGAACCACTTTTTGTTGGGTCAAAGTTGTAGAAATTTACTAAAAACTTTGTTAGTTTAGGAAACCTTTTTATGATATAAGAAACATAAGTTACTGAAAAAATCTCCTTTCTCCTTTTTATCTTCCGTACAAATTTAGCATTCGTGCGCTGGCAGAAGCGAAAAAATTCCGTGTTAGACAAAAGGATATCGTCTCTTCTCCCTTCGTCCTATCCCCACTGATACATGCGTCGGAGCCATTGTCAAATACGTTTATCGTCCTGTCACCGTTAGTCCTGTCACCCATCATCCTCTCACCAGCTGTACTCGGCCCCATTATCCTTTCTCCCTGGGTTTTTATTCCCCTTATCCTCTCACCTCGTGTCCTTTCACCCCTAATTGTAAATCCCCTTATATTCTCCCCGATTATTCTATCACCACTTGTGTTGCATCCACTGATCCTCGTTCCCGGTATATTTAACCCTATCATCCTTTCACCTCTAGTCCTTTCTCCATTCATTCTTTCACCTCAAGTGTTTACCCCAGTGATTCTGTCACCCATGGTTCTCAACCCGCTTATCCTTACCCCTATGGTCGGATCTCCATTGATTCTTTCGCCATTTGTGCTTTCCCCCATCATTTACTCTCCGCAGTTCCTCTTTGCTGTTGTGCTCTCACCATATGCCCTATCACCTCTGGTGGAATCAAAGCTTATCGCTTCCGAGGTGGTCTTATCTCCTAGCTGGCTTTCATAACATTTCTTTCTGAAGTTTTCTTGTTGCGCATGCTGTTGGGCTCCAGATTGAGCCTGATTATTACCATACCAGCATACAGTCCAAAAGAAGCTCCTTTTGCTTCAAAAAGGTTGCAGTTGTCAATTTATGCCCCATCATTTTATGGCTGAGACAGTTTCAGAGGAGATGCATACCATTTTTAAGTGATTTGACCTTTTTCTTTTGCAGTTAGATTTGTTGTAAGTACGTGT